TGGTATAATCCCAGCTCACTGCAATCTCTGCTTCCTGGGTTCAAGCCCTTCTCCTGCCTCAGCCTCCTGAGTAGCTGGGATTACAGGTGTATGCCACCATGTCCAGCTAATTTTTGTATTTTTAGTAGAGATGGGGTTTCGCCATGTTGGCCAGGCTGGTCTGGAACTCCTGACCTCAAGTGATCCACCCACTTTGGCCTCCCAAAGTGCTGGGATTACAAGCGTGAGCCACTGCATCCAGACTTTAAAGCTTTTTTTAATAGGTATAATTCAGTGGATTTTAGTATATTCACAAAACTGTGCAACCATCTGTTTAATATAGTATAAATCATCAATTTAGCATATTCACAAAATAGTGCAAACACGACCTAATTCCAGAACATTTTCATCACCCCTAAAAGAAATCCCATGCCCATTAGCAGTCACTCCTATTCTCTCCTTTCTCCAGCCGCTGGAAACCACTAACCCTACCTTTCATCTTTATGAAATTGCCTATTCTGAATATTACATATAAATGAAACCATACAATATGTGACCTTTTGTGTCTTGTTTAGCTCATTCTTTAACTCTCAGCATCATCACAGTACTAGAATTAAGTAGGTACTCAATAAATATTTGCTGAGTCTGGGCACAGTGGCTCACACCTGTAATCCCAGCATTTTGGGAGGCCAAGTGGGGTGGATCACTTGAGGTCAGGAGTTCAAGACCAGCCTGGTCAACATGGTGAAATCCTGTCTCTACTTAAAAAATAAATAAATAAAATAAGTAAAACATTAAAAATAATTAAAAACCTAACTTAACTAAATATTTGCTGAGTCAACAGAGAAGAACTATAGGAACAAGGAATAATCAAGTCTAGAAAGACACCACAAATTTTAAAGGTAGAAGAAACTTTAAACATCATTGCTATGGTTTGAATGTGTATCCCAAAGTTCATATTTTGGAAACTTAATCCTCAGTGCAAGTGTTGAGAGTTGAGACCTTTAAGAGGTGATTAGGTGCCTTCATGAATGGATTAATATTGTTACTCCAGGAGCAGGTTCATTATCAAGAAAATAGGTTTGTTATAAAAGCAAGTTTGGCACACTCACTGTCTCTCCTTGCTCTCTCTCTTACCAGGTGATGCCTTCCTCCATGTTATGACACAGCAAGAAGGTCCTTACAAGATGCATATCCTTATTTTTGGACTTCCCAGCCTCCAGGATCATAAGCCAATACATGTCTGCTCTTTTTACATTACCCAGCCTCAGGTATTGTTATAGCAGCACAAATGGGACTAAGACAGTCATTTAGTCCAAATATCTAATTTTCTACATGGGGAATTCAAGATTTAGACTTATCCAGGGTCAGTCAGCCACTTAGTAACAGAACTGAGACTAAAACTCAACAAGTCTGACTCACAATCTAGAAGTTTTTCCAGACTGACTCTCCAAAATGAAATTTTCCTTTGCTTTCACTCTATCTAATATAATGCACTACCAGGGCCTCCCTAGTTCTTCAGCTTGCCTGCTTATTTCTAAACTTGGGAGGGTCTCTTTCTAGTGTTCTAGCATGAGCTTGCTTCAGGAAGGCAAAAAGATCTAAATTATTTTTTCAAAAAACATCATGAAACTTCATCTCTACTAAAACTGGAAAAATTAGCCAGGCGTGATGGTGGGTGCCTGTAATCCCAGCTACTTGGGAGGCTGAGGCAGGAGAATCACTTGAACCCGGGAGGTGGAGGTTGCAGTGAGCCGAGATTGCACCATTGCACTCCAGCCTGGGCAACAAGAGTGAAAATCCCACTCCAAAAAAAAAAAAAAAAAAAAGGCCAGACTCCTTTCGGCCTCTAACTATCTTGTTGCTACTGTTTTCCCTTTGAGCAGGTGTTTTGTGGCGGTCTTCTATTTAAGTACAAACCCTGCTTAATTTTGAAAGTTCACAAGTTGACAGGAGGTATGACTCTAGAGAGCATGCATTCTCAGAGAATAGGTCTGATTTTTTGTATGTGTCATCCCTTTGTTCAGGCTCATTATCTAAAAACCTAGAAGAGATTTCATAACTACAGATTTTAAGAACTGAAAGTTAACTTTGAAATGTCATTCTCTTATATATTTGTCTACAAATTAGATCCACACATATTTGAAACTTCACAGCACATCAATATCATTCCCTCTTTTGTTTTTGAGACAAGGTCTTACTCTGTTTACCCAGGCAGGAATGAAGTGGTGCAATCTTGGCTCACTGCAACCTCAACCTCCTGGGTTCAAGTGATCCTCCCACCTCAGCCTCCTAAGTAGCTGGTACTAGAGGCAATGTGCCACCACACTCAGCAAATTTTCTTTATTTTTGGTAGAGACGCGGTCTCACTATGTTGGCCAGGCTGGTTTTGAACTTCTGGGCTCAAGCAATACTCCTTGGTTAGCCTCCCAAAGTGTTGGGATTATAAGGATTATAAGTGTGAGCCACTGCAACTGACCCTCACTCTTATATTTGATATGTCTACTTTGTGACAAGGATTATGGTCTTCTTGAGAAAGAGGCAATATTTCTGTGCTCTTTTGGGTAAAGATTCACTCTAGGCTTACCTCTTGACCTATATCTCAATTGCCCTATTTTATTTTTTGTTGTTGTTGTTTATTCATTTTCTTTTCTTTTTTTTTTTCTTTTTTTTTTTTTTGAGACAGAGTAAAGTGCAATGGCATGATCTGTCACCTAGGCTTGAGTACAGTGGCATAATCACAGCTCATTGCAACCTCAAACTTCTGGGTTCAAGTGATCCTCCTACCTCAGCCTCCCAAGTAGCTGAGACTATAGGCATGCACCACCACGCCCTGCTAATTTTTTTACAGTTTTTTTATTTTTGTAGAGTTGGACAGGGCCGGGGGGTGGTTTCACTATGTTGCCCAGACTGGCCTCGAACTCTTGGCCTCTCAAAGTTTTGGGATTACATATGTGAGACACCACACCATGCCTTCAATTGCCCTATTTTATATGGTAGCACAATTACTTCCTATTTTACCCCTACTATATGTGAGTCCAAGATTCACATAAAGATTAGCCAGCTGCTGTTTAGTTTACTAAGGCCTAAACCACTTTTTTAACCATTCCAAGTGAAGCAAAAACCAAAGTTTTATTACATTTTCCCAAATATAATTATAGCTGATTTATGAAGGTTCTCTACCCATCTTTCTCAATCTTCCAAAACCATTTTTTACAAGAAAATCCCTTTTCTATCAGGTGAACAATATCCAATAGCTGGATTCTGAAATGCAACTATATGACCTTCCTTACACATGCATGATATTAAGAATGACTTTACTCAAAAGAAGTGTATGTTAACATAAATGGGTTCGATAGATTCATAAAGCTGGAAGGGAGCACAGACATCTTCTAACCCCTTCAATTTAAAGAAGATCCAGTTCTGTGGAGGAAGAATCTTTTTTTCAACAAATGGTGCTGAAACAAAAGGACATCCAGGGGATGGGGGAAAGAAGAGAGAATGAAAAGAAGCTTAACCTGAATCTCGCACTGTATACAAATATTAATGCAAAATGGATGATGGATTTAAACCTAAACATAAAGCTATAAAGAAAAGGGGCTGGGCGCAGGGGCTCACACCTGTAATCCCAGTACTTTGGGAGGCAAAGCGGGCGAATCACAAGGTCAAGAGATCGAGACCATCCTAAACAACATGGTGAAACCCTGTCTCTACTAAAAATACAAAAAAAAAAAAAAAAAAAAAAAAAAAAAAAAAAAAAAAAAAATTAAGGAGGGGTGGTGGCACATGCCTATAGTCCCAGCTAGGAGGGATGCTGAAGCAGGGGAATCGCTTGAACCCGGGAAGTGGAGGTTGCAGTGAGCTGAGATTGCGTCACTGCACTCCAGCCTGGCGACAGAGCACGACTCCCTCTCAAAAAAAAAAAAAAAAAGAAAAAAGAAAAGGAAAGTGAGGCTATGCAAGGGAACTTGGTTTGCTAAAGTTCACCCAGTTACTTAGACCTTCTGACAGAGCTTGTTTCAATAAATTATTCACCATTTTAACAAATTCCATTTGGCCCTGGTCATTCCCCTACTTGTGCTCATTCAGAGTAAATGGTTTCCACTGTATTAATTGAGTATTTGTTCATGCTTTTGACTTTTTAATATATCTTTCATGCTATTTCAATTATTCATTCATTCAACATCTACGAGGCGACTACAATGTGCCAGGCAACGTGCAGGATTACAAGATGTAATATACTTTTCCTACCTCAACAGATTGAGGGTCCAATGGAGGAGCAATTAGATCATGATCCTGCTGAAATTAAAAACCCCTTTCGGGGCCAGAACCACCCCTCATTTCTGCCAGCTGAGTACACGATGTACTGCACAGCCTGTCCAGTGCTCTGCGCACTCGGACACATTTCGGCGATTGGCTAATCCTGAGGTTCAAGACACTCTCTCCCTCTGAACTGTTTAGGGAACTAAAGTCCACAGGGATTAATTGGCAAATCCTCACTAAAACGAAAGGGGAGCTGAGGTCAAGCGGGGCGGGGTGGCTCGTCCCCACCTCTCTCACCTCTTGGCCTGTACCAGGCATCGATCCTGGCAGAAAACCTCAATGGCTGAGGAGAATCTGACCCAGGTAAGATACACCCCAAAACCTCCACCACACACGGCCCCTCCAATGCCGGGCACAGACGTCGTCTGCCCTACCAGCCTCGTCATGGCTCATTATGGCTGCTGCTTGCTCAGCAAGATTGATTTCATGTCCAGAAAAATCTGAATTTCAAAGCTACCTGGGTGCTCTCTGTCCAGTTCTGGGGGAAATCGCCTCCCTTTTGTCTTCCTCCTCAGCCCCCTGCCCTCCCGATTCTCTTCACAGTACTTCAGGCCCTCACGAAAAATGATACTTTCAAATCCAACTCAAAGCCTTAGGTAACAAGAAAAGAAAAAAAAAAATTGTTTGACATAAAGACAGAACTAACAACGTCCGAGTGCCCTCTCTGGGCGAAGACCTCGCGTCTCAACAGCCCTCACCTCAGCTCGTCGACGCCTCCCTCCCACCGAGAGTCAACGGCCTTTTCCGGCCCAAACCCCCTCCTCGGCTCGTGAATAGTCAACGAGGCCTTTCTGGGCGGGACCAGAAACTTCCTCATGAATAATTCATGACTCGTCCACGGCTGGCCGGGGCGATCGGCCTCGCTAGACTTCATGAATATGCAAAGCAGGGGCGAGCGGCAGTTAGCCGGGCCCTGGCGGGTCCGGCCCCTCAGCAGCAGCCTCTCAGCCGAGGGCCGCACACTGACCCGACGCGGCCTTGGGTCGGGCGCCGCCCGCCTGGGCCACCTGTACAACGACAGCCTGCACCGGGGCTTCCTGAGGAGGCGCCCGCCCGCCGAGGTTAGGACCCGAGGGACCGTGGGGCTCGGGCGGGCCAGGACGCCACGCCGGCGGGTCCCAGAGAGGCCTGAGGCGGGCGCGGGGCGGCGTAGGAGAAGGGAGCGAAAGCCTGGGGGGCCCAGGGACCCAAGTTAGAAGAAGGCCCGAGGGGTGCAGCGCGGTGGCTTCACCTGGGATCCCAGCACTTTGGGAGGCCGAGGCGGGCGGATCATTTGAGGTCAGGAGTTCAAGAACAGCCTAGCCAACGTGGTGAAACCCCATCTCTATAAAAAATACAAAAATTACCTGGGCGTGGTGGCGCGCACCTGTAGTCCCAGCTACTTGGGAGGCTGAGGCAGGAGAATCGCTTGAGCCCGGGAGGCTGAGGTTGCAGTGAGCCAAAATCCCCCCATTGCACTCCAGCCTGGGCAACAGAGCGAGACTCTGTCTCCAAAAATTTTTTTAAAGTACAAAAATTAGTTGGGTCATCTTGACACACGCCTGTAGTCCCAGCTATTTGGGAGGCTGCGGTAGGAGGATCGCTTGAGCCCGGGAGTTTGAGGTTGCAGTGAGCCAAGATTGTGCCATTGCACTCCAGCCTGGGCCACAGAGGGAGACCCTGTCTCAAAAATGAAAAAAAAGAAAAGAAAAAAAAGAAAAAGACATAAGGCCAGAAGGCCAGAGTTTTCAAATACTTGAGGGCATCTGCAACCTCTTCATCCCTACCCTGGACCTGACTTTGTATTCTTTTTAACATTAATTTGTAATTATGCAAATAAAACATGAATATGTTCTCCTTTGTGCCCTACCCCTATCTCAGTTTTTTCTGCCCTGGTAACTGAGGGAGCAGTTGGGGGTGTGGCTCCTTGGATCTTTTCCCACCTGTTTAGGTAGATATTTCATATCCTGTGGAGCTTTCCAAAGGTTCCTGGAGTCCTATGAACCTCCCCAATGGGATTTCCCAAGAGAGTAGATGAAAGAGTGAGCCACTTGAAACCTGTTCTTATTTTGTTTCTGCAGGAAAGAAAAAAAAAAAACTGTTCAAGCTGGCGAGAACATGAGTTCAGAACATAATGACTAAAACTGAAATTTGGGCTGAAATATTCCTTTGGTGCAAGTTTTCTCAACCTTTCCCCCACCCCCACCATCATAACAACCAAAAATGTCTCTAGACTTTGCCAAATGTCCCATGGGGTGTTCAAAATTGCCCTCTGTCGAGAACTACCGCGTTCACTCTATACTTTCTGGAAGTAACTGCTTTTTAAGCTCCGACCACACAGATGGTCTGTCTGCACCAGCCCTTCTCAGCCTCTGCATTTACCAGCCTCTCTGGCTGGATCACTAGGCCCTCTGTGCTGGCTGTTCTAATTTTCTTCTGCCTTCAGGTCTGAGCTCAGTCAACTACTACCATATGCAAAGACTTACCCCTCTCTGCCCTATACTAATGGCAGTCCATCCCACCAGCAAACACAGTTATTTGTTATTCTGTTTCTTTCATAGAATTTCTCTCAATCTAAATTTTTTTTTTTTTTTGAGACAGAGTCTCACTCTGTCACCCAAGCTGGAGTGCAGTGAAGGGATCTTGGCTCACTGCAACCTCCACCTCCTGGGCTCAAGTGATTCTCCTGCCTCAGCCACCTAAGTAGCTGGGGTTACAGGCATGTGCCACCATGCCTGGCTGATTTTTGTATTTTTAGTAGAGACGGGGTTTCACCATATTGGCCAGGCTGGTCTTGAACTCCTGACCTCAAGCGATCCACCCACCTCAACCTCCCAAAGTGCTGGGATTACAGGCTTGAGCCCCCAAGCCCAGCCCTGGATTTCATTTCTTTGATAACCTGTTTTGTTTTTTTCTCTCTATCACCTAGAATAAGTAAGTAAGTGTCATCAGAGGCCTGATCTGGCTGAGTCGGCATCACACACAGTAGGTACTCAATAGACATTGGTGGACTGAAATTATAAATTACCCTGTCTTTCTCCTAAGAGCTTCTGTGGAGTTTCTCTTACTCCTTTCCTTCCTCATCATTTGGCAGGCTCCTTGTGACCAAAGGAATGGATTAATAAGCCCCTGTGCCTGGCCCTGTGCTAGGAGCTGTTGGGTAAAGCCTTCACCTTTCCCACTGGCTTATCAAATCCTTGAGGGCAAGAGCTGTTATTTTTACTTCTTTCATTATGTTCATTGAAGGTATTCAAATAGATACCTGAATTAACTGTTCCTCAGTGAACACGGAAGGCATTCAGATAGTTGAATGAACGAATTGGTTACTTAAGGCACAACATTAGATAATTAAAAATTGATGGTGTTACAGGGGGCTTTAGAAATCCTCCAAGTCTAGTCCTTTACTTTACAGATGAGAGTATAAGTAATTTGCTCAAGGTCCCTAAGCTTCTTAAGAGGCTGGGTTACACATACAACCCATGGTCTCACACCTCTTATTTCAAGACTCTTTCTTGTCTCCAGTCAGGCTAGTTTCTGATTACTTTTCTCTGAACCTGACTTACAACTCAGACACAGAAGTCCCAAGCCAAAAAATTGCTTCTTGTCAACTAAAAAGGCTTTGAGCCTGTGCTTTTTCATCTTGATTAAATCCAACCCTGGGGATAATGGCATAATGAACTCAAAAGTGCTATATGATATTCAAACAACTCTCCAGCTTCCTTTGTACCTTTCAGTGATAAGAGACTGGGAATTGTCCCTGTCAAAGCATTTTGTTTGTTTTGCAAGGAGAAAATGTGCATTATGGTAGAACTTGATCATTCTTTAGAAATTTCCAAATAACCAGAATTTTGACAAAGGTCAAAAGCCTCCAGCTGAGGTTTTGCCAAACCCCAGTAGTAAAATAACACATGACACAGGTGAAAATAGAGGGGGAATCTTATTTGAGATGACTTTCATTGGCTAAATTTGACCTTTCTCTCTTTAGACACATTTACATCACCTGACTCTGTACCTGAAACAGTTTTACCAATCAGTCTCTAGTTTGACTCTTGTTTTTTGAGGGCTAAGGACCATTTTTCCTTATTAGTTAAAAAGAATTCAGGGTTTCTTCTTTGTTCTTCTTGATGCACCTGGTTAGGGGAGTCTTGGTGTCCTGCTTTCAGCTTTTAGACCTTTATAGTTTATTCTGAGGCATCTTACAGCACACTGTGTCATAGGAAGCAGAGCTTTTTTTTTTTTTTTTCTTTTGGAGGGGGACAGAGTCTCACTCTGTCGCCCAGGCTGGAGTGCAGTGGCGCGATCCCAGCTCACTGCAACCCTCCGCCTCCCGGGTTCAAGCTATTCCCTTGCCTTAGCCTCCTGAATAGCTGGGATTACAGGCATGCGCCACCACACCCAGCTAATTTTTGTATTTTTAGTAGAGACAGGGTTTCACCATGTTGGCCAGGCTGATCTCGAAATCCTGACCTCAAGCGATCTGCCCACCTCAGCCTCCCAAAGTGCTGGGTTTACAGGCGTGAGCCACTGCACCTGGCCAGCAGAGCTATCTTTTGCCTACCCAAAATGATTGGAACTCTGCTCTTCAAGTTCAGTTTAACCTTGGAAATCTTCCCCAAAAGATGGTTTATTGGAGAGTTATCAAAATAGACATATTGAATATAAAAATATCTTCTCAGGAGGATATCTCCCATTAGATGTGTCTCCCTCTTCAAGGTGCAATATCATGATACCAAATATAGGGAAAAAGATTGGGATGGAGGGAGCAGCTAAGTAGGAAAGGTAGTTTCTTTATTTGTTTTCAACATTTATTAGAACTCTGAAAACATAATGTCCAGTTATGAAGTTGACACCACCACATTCATTCATCAAGCATTTATTTTGTACCATTAATAAAGTACACTACTTTGCACTGCAGGGATCACAGAGGTAATGACTTGGTCCCTGAACTGTGGATTTTACAGTTTAGTGAGAGAGGGAGATCTGTGATACTAATGGAGGTATAAAGTATACGATAGAATGTAGAGAAGGAAGCTATACATTCTGAATTGGGAATCAAGACAGCTTTACAAAGGAGGTGACATTTTTAGGAGGAGAGCATGTGTATCTCATTTTCTTTACTTGTTCTTTGGCAATGGTTAGAATACCTCAAACCAATAAAAGCAGACATTTTGCCCACCACTTTAGAACCAGGAGAGAAAAGGAGGTGTAAAATCCTTTCTTTCCACTCCTGGCAGCAACATGCTCCTGAAAGCTAAATGTTGCTTTTGCAATTCCAAGTGCCTGACTTATGGTTAAGAGAAAAGCTGAATAGAGAGAGTCCTCCCTCATCTTTGTCCCCTTCCTCAGTAAGGTTAAATGTGGCTTTTTCTTTTCAGCTGCCTTATTTCAAGCGCTCATTTCTACATTGGGATGTCATTTTATTCTGGTTTCCATTGCAGCATGCAGTAGCCATGTGATTGCCAGGAGTGGTCAGTGGTGCTTATAAATGTATTTATGAACGTGACTCTGAAATTCTAGAATTTTAAGCATCCCTGAGAAAAGAAAGGCAAAATGATTTAGAGAACTGTAGTTTTGATTCAAGCCTTTGCATGTGAACTGACTATATTACTAGCTTATTTGGGGTATTTTGTAGAAAGAAAGGCAAAGGTAAAGAGTTCCCAACCTGGCTGTAGCTTCTTAACTTTATCCATCCATTGGCAGCGAAGGAGAAAGCAGTCAATATGAAATAAGTCCCCAACTATAAGGTCTAAACATAACTCCTGCTGCTTCTGCCCACACACTGTCA